AAGGAGTTGATGATGGGGAAGTGGAACCAAATACATATATCAAAGCAGAACAGGAGAAAGACCAAAATTTGAAGCCAATAATTGAATTTCTAAAAGCAAGTGTTTTGTACCCTGCTTGGGAAAAGGTGTCTAGCTTATGCCCTGTGACAAAGAACTATTGGGCACAATGGGACCAGTTGAAGCTTGAAGATGGTATTCTTCTCTGGAGATGGGAAAGTGACTACCTGGCAAATGGTTATACCGAGAAATTTACGGGAAGTTGTGCTGCATCAATCCCATGATAGTTTAACAAGAGGACATCTCGGAGTTAAGAGGACATTAAGTCACCTACGACAGAGATTTTACTGGATAGGTATGAGGCAAGATGTGGAAGAATGGTGCAGGTCATGCAGTACATGTTGTGCTAAAAGGGGACCCAAGCATAAGGGACGTACTTCAATGAAGTTATATCAAGTTGGCGCACCAATGGAACGAGTAGCCACTTACATAGCTGGTCCTTTGCCCCAAACTCGTACTGGAAACAGGTACATTTGTGTGGTGATGGATTATTTCACCAAGTGGCCTGAGGCATATGCAATACAAAATCAGGAAGCTACAACTGTAACTTCGGCTATTAGTGATTTCTTCTTCAGATTTGGAATGCCATACGAACTGCATTCAGACCAAGGCCATATCTTTGAATCAGCTGTGTTCCATGAATGCTGCAAGTTGTTTGGGATACGAAAGATCAGAACAATGCCACTTCACCCACAGTCCAATGGGATGGTAGAAAAGTACAACTGGACACTGGAACAGGAATTGGCAAAGTTTTGTAATAGTCGCCAAGATGACTGGGTTGTCTTACTCCCTCCACTGTTGATGGCCTATAGAACAGCAGAGCATGAAGCCACTGGATACATTCCAGCAAAGTTAATGTTTGGTCGGGAACTTAAGTTGCCGGTGGATTTGTTAACAGGACGCCCACCTTATGAAGAGTTGCCTGAAAATGTGTCACCGTATATAAAGTGCGTGAATCATTCGTTGTGAATTATAGCGTGTCTTTAAGTAAAAGTGATTGTGGAAATTAAGTGTATTGCAAAGTTGAATTGAGAAAGAATAAACTAGTTTTATTTAAGAAAGGACTTGTATCGCAGAAGTTTTTCGGAAAGAATTTCTACGGAAAATTAACAAACGAACACAGAGACGTAACAAGCAGATAAAAAGAAGGGAATATTGTGGGAACTGGCAGCAGGATTTCCAGAGAAGCTTAAGCTTGTTCATGTAAGGGATACAACAGATAAAAGTGACTTTCAGGAAGTTAGAAAGAATACTATTAGGACTA